TACCCTCTGCCCCTCATGAAGGACATGTTGTCATACCTCTCAAAAGGGAAAATATTTTCTAAACTAGACCTAAGGGAAGCTTACTATCGCGTGAGAATTAAGGAAGGGGATGAATGGAAGACCACATTTAACTGCCCCATGGGGTGCTACCAATTCAAAGTCTTGCCATTTGGATTACAAGGGGGCCCCGCAGTCTTTATGCAATTAATCAATGACGTTCTAAGGGAGCACTTATTTAAGGGGGTCCTGGTTTACTTGGCCGACATTCTTATCTTCACCGAATCAAAAGAGGAACATGTCAACCTAGTCAGAGCAGTTTTAAAGAAACTGCGAGCCGCCAAACACTCGAAATGCGAATTCCACCAGGAAAGGATAGACTACCTAGGTTATCGCATATCCACACAGGGCATTGAAATGGACCCAGAGAAGGTCAGAGCAGTATTAGAATGGGCACCACCCCGCACAAGAAAGCAACTGCAAAGTTTCCTGGGCTTCGCAAACTTTTACCGCCAATTCATCCCCTCATTTGCCCAGATAGCCCTGCCCTTCACGAACTTACTAAAAATGAAGGGAGCATCCTCAGTAAAACCTAGCCAGCCACTAACATGGACAATGGAGTGCCAATAAGCATTTGAGAAATTAAAGAGACTTTTCTCTGCCGAACCAGTACTGAGGCACCCAGACATGGATAAGCCCTTCGTAATACAGGCGGATGCAAGTGATGTGGCAGTAAGGGCTGTACTATTACAAGAAAGCAATGAAGGGGTATTGCAACCCTGTGCATATACATCCAAGAAACTCACGGAAATGGAATAGCGCTGGCCCGTATGGGAGAAAGAGGCATACGGGATACGTTGGTCATTACTCCCGTGGTGCCAGTTCCTTGAAAGCAACAAAATCCCTTTCCAGGTGTGGACTGACTACAAAAATTTGGAAGCCCTGAAAACACCCAGGAAGCTCAACCCCAAGCAAGCCCGCTGGTCCCAGCATTTTCACCAGTTCCAATTTAGGCTCAAGCATTTGCCGGGGGGAAATAACTTCCTGGCAGATGCAATATCTTGCATGCCCCAGTATAACAGCACGTGAGCCACCGACTCTAAACCGATGATGGTAGAATCACAACTGGCAGCGCCAGTAACCACCAGAGCCCAAGCTAAATTAAAACTACAGCTGGGCAGCCAAACCGGAATTGAATTCAGAAAAAGTTTGGAAACAGATGAATGGTTCCAGAAAAACAAAAATGAGAGATGGGCTGCCTTGGGTGGGGGAAAAGTTATATATACCAACAACCCAAAGAATCACATTCATGCAGCTTTGTCACAATACAAAACAGCAGGGCATTTTGGATTTGTAAAAACATTACACTTAATTAAACGGCAAATTTGGTGGCCATCCATAAAAAAGGACATAGAAAGTTACGTGGCCAGCTGCCCAAAGTGTGCAACTGCAAACAGGTTGCAAGGGAAATCGCCCGGACTGTTACAAACAGTGGCAAATCCCTCAGCCCCCTGGAGGGAAATAGCCATGGATTTTATAGTGGAATTACCAGAAAGCAATGGGAATACTGTTTTCTGGATGGTCACGGACTTGTTTTCCAAACAGGTGCACTTTATCCCTTGCCAAAAGATTCCCACCGCAAAAGCCTTAGCAAAACTCTTCATCCAGAACATTTACAGATTGCATGGGGCACTCCAATGCATCATCTCTGATAGGGGAGTGCAATTTATGTCTGCATTTTGGAAGGAATTTTTATCCCTCTTAGGGACCACTCAGGGACTGACATCTAGCCATCACCCTCAGTCAAATGGTCAATCGGAAAAATTGAACTCAGTACTTAAGCAATATCTAAGATGTTTTCTTAGTTTCCAGCAGTTCGATTGGGCGGACTTACTCCCTTTTTCAGAAGTTGCCTACAATAATGCAGTCCGCTCCAGCACAGGTTACACTCCTTTTCAAATAGCCACCGGGTGAAAGTTTCAACCCCATGCCAGAATTAACCCCAAATGAACCGGCGATCCCATCACTGAAAGAATGGATGGAACAATTACAAAACACCTGGACAATAGTTAGAAAAGCACTAGATGAAGCTAGGCAGGCATACAAAGCACAAGCCGATAAAAAAAGGGTTGAGCCTACACCATTCATTATAGGAGAAATGGTGTACTTATCTACAAAATACCTAAAGTCCCTACAACCCTGCAAAAAACTTGGACCAAAATATATAGGGCCTTTTCCAATTAAAAGAATCATAAACTCAGTAACAGTAGAATTAGAATTACCCAAAACTCTCAGGCAAATACACCCAATTTTTCATTGCAGCTTGCTGAAAAGAAAGCATCAGTCATCGTTACGGCCAAAAAGCCCCCCCCCCCACCACCTCCAATCATGGTGGAGGGCGAACAATACTTTGAAATAAAGGAAATCCTAGACTCTAGGAGATATCATGGAGCGACTCAGTACCATCTTTGTAGAAAAGATATGCCCATTGTACCACCTTATATATGAAATGATTTATATCCACTATGGTACACTACTATGCATATTCATGTTATTGCTAAATATCTGCTTTTTCAGTTGAAAATCATAAACCTGTATCCATATCTCAGTAACATGCACAAGAATGAAGGGAGATCTATCTGATGATCTAAAGGCGTTGGTATGAAAGCCTGGTTGGCATAAAAAGAAAGCTAGAGTTAGATTTAAAAAATGGGGTCTTTTGATTTATTAGAGAGGATCCTAAAATCTCAGCTAATGGGCTAAAGGGAGATTTTGAGATGAAGGGAAATATGATTATTAGATTTAATAACTGTTGAGAAATAATAAAAAATAAGGGATTAATTGGCCTAATATTTAGATTTATAAGGGAAATGAAAATTAATTATTAGGGAATAGCTTCAAATTATTGTTTAGCCCAGATAACACAGACGACGGATTTGAGACAATGAAGGATGCTCCATTAGTAAGTAGTGATGTACTAGGATGAAAAATAGAAAATGTTTATGAATTAAAATAAGAATACATTCAAGTAAGTAATAGGTGTATCTTAGATATCATAATTTTTATATAGTGAAATAAAGGAAATTTGGGTTACCGAAAATTTAAATACTGTGGATATTAAAGGTTAAATTGGAATATTATAATTAAAAATTAGGTAAAATTTAAATACAAGATATGGATATGTATAAGCAAAAATATAATGATAAATGTTTTAACTGAGCTTCTTATAATTAGAAATTTACTAGTTTAAATATGATATAGTAAACATTAAGGGAATTAGAGAAGGAAGTTTTTGATGATGTAACCTGAGATATGTACTAAAGATTTTGTTATTGTACTATTGACTACCCAATCACCATGCTGCTTTCCAAATACTCAAATGTAAAACTGGAAAACCAATAAAAACATGTTATTTTAAAAAAAAGAAACACAAGTCTAGGATTGTGCCCCAAAGTTTACACGTACACATGCTTTTATGGACATTGTTTTGATATAGGAGGCACCTTCACATAATAATTTGCATCACAGTCTTCCATAGCTCTGGAATGGCCAGTTATCACTTACATCCATATAAAAGATAATTGCTTCAGCAGAAAGCAGCAGAATCTGAATCTTGATTCTACTGTATATAGAATTGCATTTCATTTCAGTTATTGGAATGTTTTCAAAGTATTTAGCTTTTTAGTTTTTCTACAGAACTTAATAGAAGTTCTTATAGTTCTTCAAATAAGCTGATCTGATTTTGGTTTTGCTTGCCATAAAAAACTTAACACATTATTAAAATTAGGCAATCCAGGTTCTGAAATCCTTGCCAAAGAATAGATAAAAACCATCTCTGTGATGGAGGGGAGGCTATTGTTGGGAATGAAATGGGCCATTAAAGAAAAGAGATCAACTATCATAAAAATAATGGTCAGGCCATTGATTATTCCATTGCCACTGAGATACCTCATGCTCTTCGGGGGTCTCCACAATTGCTTTCCCCCATCCTGCCCCACTGGAATTCCACAGACTGGGCCTGCTTTGCTAGCATCCCGAATTCCACTTACTCCTCCCCACCCCATTTCCCATGGCTTTAATGTTCTTACTTTTCAAAGAGCTCTGGAAGAGGCTGACCCACGTGGCAGAGAAGCTGAAGTCTTTTATTCAGAAGCCAATGAGGCTGTTAGAATGTAAGATGTAAGGAAAACATCTTTGCCCCATCTGAATAAAAGACCGCTCCTCTGTCATGGGAGCCTGCAGGCTTAGTTTGGGGCAGGATAGGCAGGGAGCATGTTGCAGTGTCTCTGCAGTCGATCATAAGGGCGAATGACCATTGTGATGCTGCAACATGCGTAACTTCAGGACTGGGTCATAAATACTTTTGGGGGGGGGTTCGTAATTTTGAATGTTCACTAATTGAACTGTCGTAACTCAAGGAACACCTTTATGTCTGAAACAAACTGAATGTTCTCTGAATTACTAAATTGTATATTTGACTGAATTTTGTAATGACTACTTACCTTTACTCAAAACTCAATGCTTTTTTAAAATTTAGCTATTTATTGATGTTTGTTTTTAATTTCCAGTGGAAAGTTTTTAGTAGCTGAATTCCTTTAGTTTAATCTTCCACCAATATTCTATCTTATACAGTGATTATGGCTCATATATATTTTGGATTTTTTCTCCATGATATTCCAAAATATTCTGTGTTAATTGGGTCCTTTTAGAAAAGATAGCATTAATTTCCTTTTCTTTATATCTTGGGTATCATTATATCAATTAAATGAATGACCTATTTGACTGTCTTCAATTTAAATACTCTTGTTGATTTGTAACATAATTATATTAATATATTGAATTTGTAATATTTTTGTCATTTGGTGTAAGTAGGAAAACATGGTATTTGTTTAAAACACTTAAAAAACACAATGTATTTTTTCTTTGACACAAATGTTCTGCCATTAATTCCAGTTCTGTTTCACACAACTCATCCTAGTACTTGACATGTGTTTGTTTCTTAGGCCAACGTGTAAAACCATTCAAGAACAAGGAGATTTCTGCAGTGCCTGATGACAATTTTTGATAATTCCACACACACAAAATGTTCTGTCTCCCTGTTTGAAGCAATAGTTGTGATGAATCCTAGTCTTGGTCGGATTCTCAGGAAGGGTCAGGAGGTGCGTTGATGAGGAGAGAGTCAAAACTACTGAAAGATGCTCCAGCCTTGGTTTGCTATCAAAGAACAGCAGGTGTGTACAAATTCAGGTAGTTGTAGCAAAATTTAACCTATCAGATTGTTTTTTAAACATATTTATCTATTCCTTCATAAAAGTATTTGTTAAATTGCTTTACACTGCTAATGAGGAGACCAAAAGCAGTTTAAATAGTAGAATAAAAACAAATGAAATGTCATAAATTAACTACAATTCGAGTTGAAAAACTTTAATTATGTTACATTATAAAAACAGGGAGATAAAATGGTTTTCACTTTCCATTTAAATGCCACCATTCCACCTTTGAGAGACAATTTTACAATTGAGGTGTTGCCTCAGAAACACCCTCTGTCGCAAAAAGCGGAGTACTGTTTAATTAAAAAATGTAAATCATAGAAAATGTTTTATTTCTGATAAGGTTACCTGTGGTTTCACTTTAAATTTTTCAGCTCCCATTAACCACTCATTGTATCTACTATCAAACAGATGTGGCAGACTTATAGGTTGTACCCTTACAAAATATTGCTGTCTATATTGTGCTATTAATAAATTTATTTGCAATTTAGTATAATTGCTATAAGCACTTAATGGAACTTTCTTATAGGAAGATGTAATCTCCTAAATATACAACATATAAATATAAATATCAATGTTTAAACAACACTTTTTATAATTTATAGGATATATTTAACATGGTAAAAATGTGTATTAAGGAAAATCTACAGGTAGTACATAGGTATGTATCTGCAATGTATTGAGAGTTGTCATGTGTATTGCTTCTTGGAACAGTTTTATACTGTGAGTGTATGTTCTGGCTTTGGTGAATGTACTTGTGCTTTACAGTTTTAGTACAGATCTATAGTTTATTTTGAGAAAATACAGTTTATTCCATACCAACCCTACCTCCTGTTTCCTGGCAATTATTTCTCCTAGGGTCCTTTTGACCCATTTAAGGTTACATTCCTAATTACCTACCAGTCTGCTGCCTGACCACTAGTCTGGTCCAATGAAAAGATGTAAAAAAGAGATGGTTTGCATCCATCAAAGAAAGGGACTGAGTTACTTGGCTATACATTCACAGTTTTTCTGGAGGAAAATTTAAACTAAACAGCGGGGACAGTGAGTTAATTGATAACAGAACAAGCCTGTCCCCTGCAATCTAAAAATTATAGGGCTATCAGTGCATGTAACATAGATGTGTGTGTGGACAAGAATACCAACCTTGCTGTCAAGCAAAATCAAGTCTCTAATAGCAAGTGCCACACAAAGTACACTAACCAAATAGGTGGTAAGACAATAGGGGAACTCAGGCACCACACAGGTTATGTAGAAAGTAAATAGAGGGCCAGTCATAAAGGACTCAAATGTCTATACACCAATGCACAGAGTATGAACAGCAAACAGTGTAAACTAGAAATTCAGATTAATGAGGGCAGATATGATATTGTTGCCATTACGGAAACATGGTGGGATGAAACCCACACATGGAACACACAACTAGAGGGATTTAAATTATTTTTTAAAAAACCAGACCAAATAAAAGAGGAGGTGGAGTTGCTCTCTATATAAGAAATAACTGCATCTCTACAGAAATAGAGCACAACAATGATAAAAACTGTCTTGAATGCATTTGGGTCAATATAAAAGGGGGGGGGGAAATGACATTGCCATAGATATATATTACAGGCCACCCAACCAAACAGAGGAAATAGATGAACTTTTTGCTAGTCAGCTAACTAAGGTATGTGTAGGAAGCACATCACAATAGTAATGGGGACTTTAACTACCCTGAAATCAACTGGGAGACAAACTCTGCACCAAATGGAAGATCAAACAGGTTCCTGGCAAACCTAGCAGACAACTTTGTCTCCCAAAAAGTAGAGAATGGAACGAGGGGATTAGCCATTTTGAATCTAATTCTCACTAACAGAGATGAAATGATAGAAGGTGTTGAAGCCATAGGAACCCTGGGAGGAAATGACCATGCAATATTGGAATAAAACCTTATGGAAGCACAAGCAACAGTCAAACTAGAGTCTTGGACTTCAAGAGAGCTAATTTCAATAAATTTAGAGAGGGCTTGCATGGATGAGAATTCTCAAGGGAAAACAACTCAAGAAGCTTGGGAAATTTTGAAAAATGAGATAATAAAAGCCCAGTCTAGCACAATACCAACAAAGAGGAAAAATAACATCTCTCAAAAGAAACCAGCATGACAAATTGAAACATAAAAAGGATAAGTATAGAAAATGGAAAGAGGGGCACATAACTAAGTCAGAATATCAGCAAATAGCCCGAGTGTCAGAATCCAATTATATTTCATCTCTAGTTATCAATTATAGAAAACCCCATTTCTGCCTTCTATGGATTCTGTCATACAATGAAGGGAAGGGGGTGAAAAAAGGGGCTTTATGGCCCTCACTTCCTTTGGGACACTTCAAAGGAACTGGATTGGATGTGTGTATCACCAAAAGGACTAACCATAACAATGGGGCTATTATCTTTCATGTAGTTTTCTCTGAAGTCTCCATCCAACCGGCAGTAAGGAAAAGGGGGTGGGAGTGTAATGCCTGAGACTGTCGCTGGAAGTAGGGGGCGATTGGGTGGGGCTACTGGGGAACCCCTTAAAATCTTGAATGGGAGAGCTTGGACCCCAAGTCCTGTCTAGAACGCCTGCAACCATTTTCTCTTAATAAAGGATGCCTGTTGGAAGAATTATTCCAAGAGCTCTGTCTTCTTAAGATGCAAAGTGGGGTGGGTCCTTACATTAGACAGGACTTGCAAAATTAATCCACCTGGAAGGGAGACCCTTGCTGGGGAATTTTGCAAAAAATTACCATGTCAGACAATGGAGCAAGAAAGGGGGCAAACTCCCTGGAAAGAGAGCCGCTGCCCCAACTGGAACCTTGCCGGATGTTGGGATCTGAGAGGTCAGATTCCTCAGGAGAAGAAGTAGTGGAGACACGGGACCACAAGCCTCACTGGTCAATGGGCATTGGAAAGAAAAGTGAGTGGGGAAAGGAATCAAGAAAGGTGACTCTGAGACGGGGGGCCAAGCAACCAGAATGGAAGCAGGAGATGGAGAAATCCCTGCACACAAGTGAAGAGGGAGAAAGCTGGGCACCATACTCAGACTGGATCCTAGAGAAAGCTATTGACCTGATGAAGAGAACTCTCAGCTCCCTAGGAGAGGAGAATCCTGAGCCCTACGGCCGCCTCAGCTCCTGGAGCCGCAAAGGGAGAGACACCGAGGGAGAAGTGGAACCTGCAAGTGGAACATCTGCTGATCCAGTAGTCCCCACCCCCTACAACCCACAGATGGCGATCTGGATGGAAGACACTACCACCAACAATGGAGGCACCGATCCATTCCAAGACGTCCGCCATTGGAGGTGAAATTCAAAGGGGAGCCAACACGCTTGGGGTTTTTCCTAACCCAAGTCCTCAGCTAGATGGAGGAATACGGGCAGGACATCCCCAGTGACAAAGCCCGCATCCAGATTGTGCAATCTACCCTGGAGGGATCGGCTGCAGATTGGGTGGTGAACTTGCACAACTCCAATGCCCCAGAACTCAGCGACTTCAACCGTTTCATGTCCTCTCTGAGAAGACTATTTGAAGACCCCCTGGCTGATCGCAAAGCCCGTGAAAGGATAAAAACGATGAGGCAAGGCAAACGCCCAGTGGCTGAATATACACAAGAATTCCGGGCCATTGCCAGCAAACTGAACTGGCCAGAAGACATCCTCCTTAACCATTTCAAAGACGGACTAAATTATGACCTCTATGATGCTTGCCTGCCTCGAGGGGACCCACACCAACTTGAGGAATGGTACATCTTGGCAGAGAAAGCAGAGATCGACATATTGAAGAGACACCACCGAGGAAAACAATGCAGCCGCTCCCCGTCTGAGTTGAAACACGAACCAGTGAAACCACCGGCTACAGCCAAGAAACAAATGGGGTGTTTCAAGTGTGAAAGAGAAGGGCATCGAGCTGTAGAATGCTGCTCCAAAGCCCCCCAGCACAACCCAGACAGATCCCCAATCAGCAAATCCGGAAGGTCTTCAGCTAAGCCAAAAGAAACTGCCATGAGAATGATGGAAATTGCGGAACCCCCCACTTCTGCTCATCAGGGGGAAAGAACTCCAGCCTACACCGCAGGGTTGGTCGACGCCTCAGATGACATCTCGGAGGGCAAACCCCTGGTAAGTGGACGCATCGCACACATCCTCAAGACAGTGACTATATTAATTTCCCCCATACCCGAAGCCGTGAAGGTGAAAGACTTAATAGACTCTGGCTGCACCCGCTGCCTCATTAGCCCGACACTAGTGGGGAATCTGGACATTCCGTCGAGGAGACTGGAACAACCAATCTCATTTGGCCAGTTAGATGGATCCATAGCGGGGGGGGGGGTGCCAGCTAGCCACTCTACCAATACACCTCTCCCTGGGCAAACATGAGGAGGACATAACGTTTGTGATGACCCCAGGCATGGAATGCCCAATGATCCTAGGGATGGAATGGTTAAAAAAATGGAACCCCTGGGTAAATTGGTGGACGACAGAAATCAAATTCCCGAAGGGGGACCCTATGGACTTAAAATCCCAAGGGGGGCTACCAGAATCAAGAATAGACTAACAGAAATACCAGAGGAATACAGAGACCTTGCTGAAGTTTTCAGTGAGAAGAGGGCGGATGAGCTCCCCCACCCCACCGACCCACAGACTGTACCATTGAATTCAAGCCTGGGGCAAAACTCCCGAAGCCCAGATTATACTCCATGAGCCCAAAGGAGAAGGAGGAAATGGAAAGATTCATAAAAAAAAACCTAGAGAGAGGATTGATTGAACCAGCCAAGCCTAAAGTGGCTGCCCCGGTCCTATTTAGAGAGAAGAAGGATGGTTCTTTACGCTTATGTGTGGATTATAGGGCCCTGAATACAATCAGTGAAAGCAACCTATACCCTCTGCCCCTCATGAAAGACATGCTGTCACACCTCTCGAAAGGGAAATTTTTTCTAAACTAGACCTAAGGGAAGCTTACTATCGCGTGAGAATTAAGGAAGGGGACGAATGGAAGACCGCATTTAACTGCCCCATGGGGTTCTATCAATTCAAAGTCTTGCCATTTGGATTACAAGGGGGCCCTACAGTCTAAGGGAGCACCTGTTTAAGAGGGTCCTTGTTTACTTGGACGACATCTTATCTTCACTGAAACAAAAGAGGAACATGTCAACCTTGTCAGAGAGGTTTTAAAGAAACTGCGAGCCACCCACCTATATGCCAAACTCTCAAAATGCGAATTCCACCAGGAAAGGATAGACTACCTAGGTCAGTGGTTCTCAAGCTTTCTAATGCCGTGACCCCATAATACAGTTCCCCATGTTGTGGTGAGCCCCAAGTGGGTGTGGCAACCAATAAGAGGGAGTAGGACAGCTAGGGAAGAGGGAAAAAAATGGCGGACAGAGTGGGTTGGCGACCCCCGTGAAATGGTCGTTCGACCCCAAATGGGGTCCTGACCCACAGGTTGAGAACCACTGACCTAGGTTATCGCATATACCCCCAGGGCATTGAAATGGACCCAGAGAAGGTCAGAGCAGTATTAGATTGGGCACCACCCCGCACAAGAAAGCAACTACAAAGTTTCCTGGGCTTTGCAAACTTTTACCGCCAATTCATCCCCTCATTTGCCCAGATAGATGCACTATCTCGCATGCCCCAATATAATAGCGCACGAGCCACAGACTCTAAACCAATGATGGCAGAGTCACAACTGGCAGCATCAGTAACCACCAGAACCCAAGCTAAATTAAAACCACAACTGGACAGCCAAACTGGAATTGAACTCCGGAAAAGTTTGGAAACAGGTGAATGGTTCCAGAAAAACACAAATGTGTGCACAATGAGAGACGGGTTGCCTTGGGTAGGGGAAAAGTTATATATACCAACAACCCAAAGAGTCACTTTCATGAAGCTTTGCCGTGACACAAAATCAGCAGGGCATTTTGGATTTGTAAAAACTTTACACTTAA